AAAAAAAAAAAAAAAAACACACAAAAACAAACTTAAAATGGCAGGAAATATTTGGGTTCCAAGGACTTCATTCCAGCCTACCAAATAATGATCTCTGAGGTGGAATCTGAGGGTCTGTTTTAAAAGATCTTAACACACACTAAAGTTTGAGAATCTTCTATTCTAACGAGTCAGGAGTCCCAAAAGGGATTGCTTGGAAGAGGAGTCTGAGAAGTATCAGATAAAGAAAGGGACCTGAGGTCAGAGGGGAGATACATTGTCTAATGAGGGATCTGGAGGTGAAGAAGCAGTCTGGGGACAAACCAGGCCCTGGGGTTTTAATAAATTATTTAGGAGGTGAAGGCAGACTCTCAAGTCCAAAGAGGAGTCTAGAATCAGAAAAGTCTGAAGGAGTCCAAGGAGGGATTTGGGGTCGGAAGTGTATGAGGTCAGAGACAGGAACCGGAGTCCAGAAAAGATATGTAGTCCGAGAATAGAGTCGGCTTTCAGGGAGATACTGGCTGGATTCAGACTGGAAGGAGGAGGAGATTTGGTCCCTGGGCTGCATAAGGAACTCGGAACCACTGCGGCCGAGCTTGCAGCGTCCTCACCCCAACGACCCTCCTCTGCCCTCCAGGCTCTCTATCCACCGGCACCTGGGTGACACTGCAGGCTGACAACTCTAAGCAGACTGGGGCGAGTCAGAGCAGGACACCGCTCTGAGTTCGGCGTGGCGCCCCCTCCCGGCAATCCCGGAGCCAAGCACCGCCCTCCGCGCTCCCACCCCCCTCCGCAGCCACTTCCGGCAGGCGCTGCGCTGCTGGGGGGCGCGGGCGAGGATGGCGGCGGAGAACGAGGCTAGCCAGGAAAGCGCCCTGGGCGCCTACTCGCCGGTAGACTACATGAGCATCACCAGCTTCCCGCGGCTACCTGAGGATGAGCCGGCGCCCGCGGCCCCTCTGAGGGGCCGCAAGGACGAGGATGCTTTTCTGGGAGATCCGGATACCGGTGAGGCCCAATGACCGGGTCCCTGCCCCACATTGGGAAGTCCCCGGTCCTCCTTCATCTGTGCCGAGCATTTGCCTCCAGCTTCCATCCCTTTAATTCATCCTCTTCCTCCTGGACCTCTCCCTTCTTTTCCCTTGTCTGTTAATTATCTGGTGGAGAAGGGGGTGCATTTCTGCTTTGAGGCGTAGGATGCGACAAGGGAGATGATGCCAGGGACTGCAGCAGCAGGAACTGGGATTACCTCTTGGGAAGAACCAACTAATGAGGAAGAAATGTTAGAAGGGATATCCTGAGGAACAGCTGCCATCACCCAGAAGAGGCCTTTTTCTAGCTACGGAGAACAGGATAGGAGAAACCAAGTCAGAGACTGCAGCAGGAGGGATAAGGTCTAAATCTTAAGAACTCCATAGCCAGGGATATGGGAAGCAGATAGTATGGAGAGATGAAAATTTCTTCATGTCCAGGGAAGGGTAAAGGGAATATGATTTTCCTCTTTCTGAGAATGCTGGTTATTGGGAGACAGGGGGATGGACTGCATGACCTCTCAAAGTCCTTGGGGATTAGAGTGCTTTTGCTGTCCTGTGGATTACTGCACTTCTCCCTGAGCTATGGATCTGGTCAGGATCCACTCCACTAGGAAAAACTTCCCTAGGAAGCAGTCTCCAGAATTGTACTAAGTACTCCAGAGCTCTTTGTAGAGACTGCAAAGAGAAGGGGTAGGGTGTGAGGAGATGGCTTGAGAGAGACCAGGGAGCCAAAAAATCTCTGACTATAGTGCTCTCCCTCCTATCCATGTGTTCCAGCTCTATCCTCCCCTCCATTCTTCATCCTGTATCCTCCATCCCTCTTTCTCCAACGTCACTTCCTGGCATTAGAGCATCCTTCTGCCTCACTCTTCCTCCCAAATGCCTGCTCTTGAGACATCCTTTACCAGCATAGCAGATGCTGCTTCTCTTGCTCAGCTCTCTGTGGCCTGGCCATTCCGTAGCTACTTTCAGGCTTATGGCCCCAAATTTTCTCCCCCTTCACAATTTTCTGGTCATCTGGCTCTGATAAGTAGTGCCTGATACCCTGACTGGACTGCAGTCTACAGTGGATGAGGTTGAGAGTGTTGAGAGTGAGGTGTGGAGGTTTATGGGCATCAAATGTCAGGGCTACAGATGAAAACTTCCTTTTCCAGAGTGTAGCCTTCCAGCAGGCACTGCACTTCTTTTCCAAAGTGTAGCCTTGGGACCAGGTGGTATCAGAAAGAGGAGTGAAAGATATGCCCTGTTGAATACCGACCTGAAGCCCTTCTTTTATTCAGGGGTCAAGAGTGACACTCTTTACTAGCTCTGCCCTTATTCACCATGTGACTAGTGGACACACCTACCCTATCCTGGGCAGTAGTTTCCTCTTCTAGCCCAACCAAAAAATGCCTGTTCTCCTAACCTAGAGATTGAAATCCTTTGATATTTTCTCCTGGCCACCTATAAATGTCTTAGCTTGTATAAAAACCTGTGATTATTCATTTGTGCAATTATGTGATTGCTCTGTGTCTGTAAGCCTATGAGAGGAGAAATCATGACTGTTTTGTTTACTGTTTCCCTTCAGCTCCAGTCTCCAGCGCAGTGCTGGGCACTCAGTAAATAACCGTTGAATGAATAAATGATTGAGAGAAAAGATAGAATGAGAGAATGATAGGGGAGGGAGCTCTAAAACCTCAAAGAGTACCTTGGGGAGTTCAGCACATGTTCTGCCCTCACCTGTTTGGAAACCCAGTAGGAACTCTAGTCGCCTGAACCTTCTGGGAATTATGCCAACTTTTTCACCAAGTTCCCAGGTACTTGGCTTGTAGTTTCCAAGTATCTTGTTATCATATTGGTGTAATCATTTCAATGCCATGTCTCACAACCACAAGGCTCCTTTGGTCTAGATGTCAATGCCGTGTCTCCCAACCATAAGGGTACTTTGGTCCAACTGGATCAGCCTGCTGGTTAACATGGCCCCTTATGTTCTTAACCTGCTGGTACTACCTAGCAGCCTTGCCCCATCCTTTTATCCAAGACCTTGGTTGTGCCCCCTGTGCCTCTAGCCTGACATTTCCCAAAACCAAGTGCCAGGCACTTCACATCAGGCCTGTGGCAAACAAAGCTAGATGGCGGCCATTCCAAGGTTAGGAAATACTTTCCTTCCTCTGTTCTGTGCTCTAAGCCCGTGTGTTCTCTCTTCCTGGCTCTAGATGTCCTGCAAGTGCCTTCAGCCTTCTGTGCTAAATTCATCATTTCTTCCCCACACACCTGCTTTTCCTCCAGTGTCATTCTCAGTTAATGACAGTGACACTCATATAGTCTCCACTGGAAAAGCCCAAGAACCACCCTGGATTCTCCCTTTTCTTCTCATTTACAAATTGTGATCAGATACTTCATGCCTCTCTCCTAAGTATCTTTAAATTCCATCTTACCCTCCCTTCATCACCATTGTAGAGGAAGTCACCAACCTCTCTTATCTACATTACTCTTAAGCTCCTAGCTATTCTTCCTGCCTCCTGCCCCTTGCTCCACCCTCACTCCAGTCCTCCTACTGGATGGACTGAAATCATGTCATTCTCTGGTTCAAAACTTCTTAATGATTTTCCCTCAAGAGAGTAAGCAAGCCAGAAAGACCTCAGTCACTAGCCGAGATCTCCCTCTCTGGACTTACGTAATTAACTCTGTTCAGAGTTTTTTTTTTTTTTTGTCATAAACTCAGCTGAACCTGAGCTATATCTGGAAAGAGAATTTATGGGGTAACAAATAAAATGTCCAGGGATGTGAGTCTCCAGGGTTAGGTGGATTGAGCTGCCTAAAAGAGAATTGGCTTTTCTTCCATTTTTTACCCTGCCTTCATTTTTATGGGCTTCATCATTAGAAAGCCTCTCATCTTGTTGGGAGCCTGCTTTTCCTCCAGTGTCATTCTCAGTTAATGACAGTGACACTCATATAGTCTCCACTGGAAAAGCCCAAGAACCACCCTGGATTCTCCCTTTTCTTCTCATTTACAAATTGTGATCAGATACTTCATGCCTCTCTCCTAAGTATCTTTAAATTCCATCTTACCCTCCCTTCATCACCATTGTAGAGGAAGTCACCAACCTCTCTTATCTACATTACTCTTAAGCTCCTAGCTATTCTTCCTGCCTCCTGCCCCTTGCTCCACCCTCACTCCAGTCCTCCTACTGGATGGACTGAAATCATGTCATTCTCTGGTTCAAAACTTCTTAATGATTTTCCCTCAAGAGAGTAAGCAAGCCAGAAAGACCTCAGTCACTAGCCGAGATCTCCCTCTCTGGACTTACGTAATTAACTCTGTTCAGAGTTTTTTTTTTTTTTTTGTCATAAACTCAGCTGAACCTGAGCTATATCTGGAAAGAGAATTTATGGGGTAACAAATAAAATGTCCAGGGATGTGAGTCTCCAGGGTTAGGTGGATTGAGCTGCCTAAAAGAGAATTGGCTTTTCTTCCATTTTTTACCCTGCCTTCATTTTTATGGGCTTCATCATTAGAAAGCCTCTCATCTTGTTGGGAGCATGATGCCTCCAGCATTCACAAGTCTAATATCCTACCAATTTAGCATGGTAGGCAGAAAGAAAGCCTTTGTCCTTCCTTGTGGTTCCATCAAAAGAACAAAGCTTGAATCTTATTGACGTGGTTTTTGTCACATGCCTATTCCTGAACCAATCACTATACAGAGGTGCTTGTTCTGATTGACCAGGCCTGAGTCATATACTTACTTTGGTCAGGGATGAGCAAGTTAGGTGAGGGAGGGAAGAGGGTGTTACCTAAAAGAATATAGAATGGAAAGTGATATCTAAGGAGATGAAAATTAGATATCTACTAATCCAGCTGCCTCCAGATAGTTCCTCCTGGTGTCTCACAAATTCAAATATCCAAAATTAAACTCATCATCTTTCTCTCCAAAGACTTGCTTCTTCAGGTTCCAAACTAACCTTTCCCCAGTGTCCTGCTGTTGCTCTTATATAGCATTAAAATCAAGATATCATTATATTGCCCCAGCAATACACGGTGCACATAGTAGTTATTCGGTATATATTTTTGTTGAATAAATAAATAATGATGAACCGGTAGAATAGAGTCTTGAATAGCTCCAGTTGTGATGGGAGCTATTATTATCACCTCCCGGATTCTTATACCTGACTGCAGAAAGCAGATTGAAGAATAAGTACTTGGAAATATCAACTAAAATTAGCTTGTAAGATTGGCTTTTGAGGATGAATATGATTCCTGATGCCATATGGAGTAATGGAAAGGGGGATTGGGTTTGCAGAGATTCTCTATTCTGCCACTTATTTATTTCATGACCTTGGACAGAGAGTACCACCTTTCTCAACCCCAGTTTTCTCATTTGTAAAGTGGGGAGAGTGGGGTTAATCTTAGAAATGATTTTGTGAGAACACTTCAATGAGGGGATATGTTAAGTGCCTAGTATATAGTCAGCATCAGTAAATATAAGTTTATAACCTGCTCCTTTACTTCTTTTGAAATCTCTAGGAGCCAAGGAAAGTTCTGTGCCTACATCTTTTTGCTGAATGCCAAATTTTGTTTACAGACTCTATGGTACCAGTGTTGAGGGTTAGAGACAAGCATGATCAGTTAAGGCACATTCCCATAAAACAAGCTTTTTAAAAAAAAAAAAAAAAAGTTTAAAACAGGGCCAGCCCCATAGCACAGTGGTTAAGTGCTGCACTTAGAAAGCTAGATCCCACATGGCCAACCACTGTTAAAATCCCAGCACCATAGAACTAGCAGTTAGTGTAATAGCTATGTCACTGGACTTCCGTGTAGTCGACCGCAGTTAAAGTCCTGGACCTGGTGGCTTAAACTCATACCAGGCACGTGTGCATGTGTGCCCAAGATCCTGAGAGGAGAATGGAGGAGAAGGGATTGTGGCGTGGCCATCCCCCCAAAGGGTGATTTCTGACTTTCTATCTCTCTTTCTGGCAAGCGCATGCACCCTATAG